CATGGCCTACTTTAGAATAAACAAGTTATTAGAGGAGACTTTTGTTAAAAAGAGGACCAAAGGTCGAAGCACTTGTAAAATGCACTCTTCTTCTTCTCTCCATCAGTGGTTGCCAAACCTAATCCTAGAATTTCTCTGCCCTGCACATTTATGTATTTTCCCTGCTCTAATACACCTGATTTAACTAATGAGATCAATATGGGGGACAGCAGGTCCAAGCTTGAGCACCAACACCAAATGCTTCAACTCCAGAACCTGGAACTTCACCTGACCCCACTATCCCTTGCCACTACATGGTCTAGAAATAGTAAAGGTCCCTAAATCCTTCTTCAACACACCGTTCCAGGACAAACCTTTATTTAGTACAGAGCAGAGGTGACCAGTCTTATCTTATACAGGTAAGATTGGACACCACTGGTATAGAGCCTATACATTTAATAAACCTCTGACATGCTGTACTCACACATCAAATCTCAGAAAGTGTTTGTTCTTTGTCTGTGGTTGTAGGTTTTCATTCCAACAAAGCAGGAGCACAAATAACCAGTTGTTTGAAGATTGAGACCAACTGATTAAATGAGTAGAATCAGGTTGTTTTGATTGAAGACCTGCAGCCACTCTGGCCTTTGTGGATAAGATTGGACATCCCTCTTCTATGTCCTCTTTTACAAATAAACATTTCTGGCATCTTGGGTATCTTTATTCATAGGGGTATTCTTTACAGTAAACAAGCTTTTACAGTAGACTTTTCTTAAGTAGAATCAAAGGACAAACAAGTTGTGAAGTGCACCCTTATGCTTCTTCTGTATCTTTTCAAGGATCTGGAATTTAGTCTACATTGTTTCTGAATGTGTCATTACTGTTGACGTACCATACCCCAACTCCAAAACTAGAAACTAGCTAAAGCGCAACAAGCTCAATAGGGAAACTTTACAGCACATCCACCCCTTCTAAGTAAACAAGTGAATGCATAAACAAACAGGGAGGTAGTGGTAGGCAGTAGGAGTGCAGAGTGAGGGGAGCAATGGAGCTGAGGCCAGGCTGGGAGTCAATAAGTCCCTCCAGCACCAAGCACAGGACTGCACCCCGCAGTGAACCCACCGCTAATTACCAGTGAATCACACCCCTTCTCTGAGAGGGTCCCAACACACACACACACACGAACACCAACTGCATACAATACGCTAACACACATCTCTTGTACATAAGTACTGCACCGAGTACATGTGCAGATACCCACAGGCAACAACAGAAATCCACACATAAAGACAGACAGCTTTCTACTTTTTGTGTTACTGCTCTCTCTTTGCCTTTATGAAAGCTAAGTTGTGAATGTCCTCAAACAGCTTGTGAAATCTCAGAAGAGTCCTGCCAAGGTCAAAGAGACGGAGAGTGATAGGCTGATTTAAAGAGAAGCATGAAGCGCTCAGTTTGAGTAGAAGAGGACAAAGAGAAGGAGCAGTGGAGAGGCCCGTGATTGGTCGGATCTGGCCGGGGACGAGGATGGAATGATAACATTTTCACTCGCGGCCTGGCCAAGTTTTTGGCTTGAATCCGAGCCCAGCGGTTGATGTCCCGATTGCATCGCAGGCCAACCTACAAGGCCGACCGACTTGTCAGAAGTTTTCTTTGGGGATCCGCTGTAGTATAGCCGTGTGCTTCATTTTTATGTCGAGTTTACTCCAAATCCATTTTTCATGTTTTGAGCTACAGGCAGCGTACCACATTGCCTGTGGTACCAAGGTTAAGAAATAGGCACGTAGCTCCTGGGTCTGGTCAGCTTGACTCACCTTTACCCCGTATACTTCTTTCTTTCTCCTTCCTCTTTTTGCTGTTTATTTCTTCTCTTGAACTATTGTCTGTATTAGCTCTTTCTGGTAGCTGTCTTGCCTCAGTTGTGTCTAAGCTCATTCAGTGATCAAGCGTTTGCTAAGCTTGCATGCAAATCCACTGAACTTAGTTCCATAGATTGTTTGAATGCTTATTTGAATTTACTCTCAGGCAGTGTGTGAAGCAGCTGTTTTGAAAGGTCACTTTTCCCCCCTTCGTCTGTCTATGTTGCTGATCAGGTCTCCCGTAATAACAGCAATCAGGATCCAGTTAACCCCTGACCTGAGCAATTTAGCTAATGCAGCGGAAACGCTTAGTGTGAGAAGACAGCATGCATCCTTGCACTCCTGATGGGATGACCGTGACTTTGATAAAACTGACACTCTGAGACCAGGTCACACACAGCCATGGGCTGATTCCACTTTCGCTTTTCTGTACAGCGGTAGGTCAGAAGATCAAAGGTCGAGTGCACTGGCTATGAGAATGATGGACTGACGTTTTTCAAGATACACAATACGTATCATATTTTGTTTTTCTGAGGTTTGCAAAGTTGGTGCAGATGTAGTGCACAAGCAAAACAGTAGTGCAACATACTATCAAAATATCAATTATCAAAATTGTGCATAGAATTTTTTATTGTGATCATTTTATCTGCTCTACTACATGTTTACTACATGTAATTACCTCATGCATATTTTATACAGTGATAGAAAATGGTAGCAGGCAGAAAGTGCTGATTCTACACACTGATATGTTTCACTCTAGCCAAAGTGGACTTGCATGTGCAGTTTTATTTCACTGGCAGTAGTGTTAAATGAGTTAACAGGGCCATGGCCAGATTCTCAGAATGAATCGCCAGCGGGATGCTTGGTTCAGTAGGGTTACAGCACCAGTTCATAGACTCTGGCATTGTTGAGATTCTAACTTGCAATTTCCTTAAACCACTCAAAACCTTAAACAGTTCTGTCTTGTTGAACCTTCATCTGAATCTCTTTTCAGTGAGGCATGCAGTTGATCACAGTTCCGTCAGCACTGACAACGATGCCCACGATAAGCTGAGAAAAGCTTCATTTGTCGTGATAACAGTATCACATTGTCATATTGTCCACTCCTAACTGCTGATGTTTGCTAAAGCAGATTTTGGACACTCAGTGGTAGGGCTTGGAAAGGGCCCCACTGTGTGAGCTGTGTGAGGGACTGGCTTGGCCAGGAGGGTGGAAAGAGGGAGTAGGTCTGTATGCAGGTCTTCCAGTGTGTGGAGAGCTGAATGCGCACATACACACACACATGGCCTCTCAGCTTGCCTTCAACAGCCCGGCCTGGCTCCACTGCAGAACCAGTTCATGGAGGATGGGGTGAGAGGAAGGAGAGAACAGAAGGGACGACACACTCGTTTCCTGTGACTGAGTGATGCGGATAAGGCAGGGTTCAGAAGCTCACCTACCGCCCTATAGCTGTGAACTTCCATTTTGGGAGTAGGTCATATGTCATTAGAGTACTGCCTTAATTTTCACCTCCCCCAATTCCGATTTACCTGAACCCACAGTGTTAGACGATACAGAGTATCAATACGATACAGCACTGTTTTTATTTCTCTAGCGTGAAATATGTTTACCCCACTGTGTGAAACTGTTAGGATGTGTAAGGTAATATGAGGGCCTGTATACACATAATTTGTTATCTAGAAAAGATAGTCAGAAGTCAGAGACCACCTTTCATTAGTTTAATTTCCAGTCAAAATGACAATTAAATACCAGTTATTAATTTTTAGCATGGGGGGAAAAAAAACATATTTAACAGAAAATTACACAAAATGTCAACAGCTAAATGTAGTATCGTGTTTTTCAGTATTTATTTTGTCCATCCTTTGCCTTTATTACAACTTCCTTTCTTTTCAGGAGACTTGCTTTTAATTTTTCTGAAGAAATCTGCTGGGATATTCTTCCAAACCTCCAAAGTCAATCTTAGAAGTTAGGTGTATTTCTCCTTCCCACAATTTAGGTCATTCCAAACACAATCAGTGATGTTGAGGTCTGGACTCTGGGGTGGTCAATCCATTGTTCTGAGAACACCAGCAGCTTTTTTGATTTGCAAATTTTCTTCTTTTATTCTGTTTCTTCTTCTCTGTACAAGCTTTTTGTCAGCTACATGTCCTTTTAGACCCATAGCATTGAGTTGTCTTCTCACAGTGGAAACATGGGCAGAAACACCTGTGGATTTTTTCAGATCTGAAGCAAAAGTGGAGCTTCATTTTCTCCTATATCTTAAAGATGAAAGCTTTATGTGCTGTTTATCTGGTGGTGATGGTTTTGGTGGTGTACCAGGTCTTGAACGGGTTGTTAGGGGGCCAACTTTCTGTGTATGTGTTTTTGTTTTTTTTTAACTCCAGTTTTTGGAATGCTTATTTTTTAAACTTATTTTCTTTTGAAATCTCTTTCCTTTTGTAAGTGAATTATCTTATATCTAATATATTCTGAAAAATGAATAACTTGTACTTGGCTGTTTTTTACTGGATATTAAATAAATGAAGGGACATGTTGAGGCCATTACAAGTCTATTATACCAGATCAGAGCCTCACTAATTTTCACTCAGTCCTACAGCTGCAAATGTAATAGCACAATTGGTTGTTTTTTTTTTCCTGTGGGTACAGGAAGTCACATAAAGCTTGGCTCCAGCCACTGCGAGGAGCATGACGTTTGCAAGTGTGGTGTGTAGGTGTGTGTGTGTGAGCCCTGAAAAGTCTGGGTCAATCATTCACTGGCACAGTCGCTGAACTGACTCAAGTCCACACCATTTTATAGGTACAGGGAAAAGCTATAAAATGCACCTGGCATTCCAGAGAACGTAGCTATATGACACAAATCAGTCTTTATAATATAGACAGACAACGGCATTTCATGGTCATCCGACAACAACTTTGACTTCATAAAAAAAAGTAAATAATCCTTAATAATTCCTGTCTCCATAGCACATATGGCCAGTTCCACCTCATGCATCATTCAACTCAGGATCTGTTTCAGCACACTATTTATTTGCTTTTGATTTCTTTTTTGCTTTCTGAATCATATGGTCATTTTTAAGGATATTTTTACCCTTATGTTTCTTCCTCCCTTTGCTTTCTGCATTGTTAACATGTTTTTGTTTCTCCATTTTGTTTCTTTCTACCATTCAGTATCTACAGATGAAATGGCCACTGCTAGATGTTCAAGCAGGAAGTCTTCAAAGTAGACAAGCACTTAAAGATGCCAGGTCCCCTTCTCCGGCACACATCGTTGTAAGTAACACCCATTAGTCATTACATTTACAAAGCTCTTTGTTTTACGACTCGGAGGAAAAAAAGAACCTTTTCCTGTATCCTGTATTGTTCGCCTCTTTGGGACTTCACACTTGTGCCCTAAAACAAACCTGTCGAGTGAGTGCAAGTGACTAACTGCTGCTTTTTACGTGACACGTGTGACAGCACAGAATGTGTTCCAGCAATAAGAACAGGGTAGATTTAGGGATACAGTAGAGTAGGTGATAAAAGAGCCTTTATCTGTTTAAAAATCAAAATGATTCATAAGCCAAGTAGACCCATGAAACACGTTGTAATAATGATAATAATGATAATGATAATAGCAATAGGGATAATAATCATAATAATAAGTGGCCAGTGTTTCTGTTTGAATGCCTTGTGTCCTTCCAACACCTTGCTATGGCAGAAAGGGTTCATTAACGGCCAGGCCGAGCGTGAAGGACGAATAGCGTCTGTAGTCGAATTGAGCCCTGCAGGAGCATTTATTCTGCTGCATGTAAGATCAGGAACGTGGGTAGTTTTTACATCCACACAGTTCACCCCAAACTCCTCACCAAGTCAACAGTAACGCCAAGGTTAGACATATCAGTGGACCAATATAATGGAATCCTGTAACTTTACATCATAGTTTACGTTACTAGACAAACTTTATGGGAGTCTTTGCTGAATTTCTGGGCTTTTGTTTTGATTGCCTTTGCCATGGCTCCAGGGTCAAATGTAGGTGAGAAGAGGAGCAGTCAATAAGATGTTGAATAAAAAGTAGTATTAGTAAGTTAACAGTGTGCATTTAGCCCTTGGCAGAGCACTAATACTAGACCATTAGGATATGTGTTGTCTTTACTCTATAATTGGTGTCAGAGGACTTGACTCTTTTACCAAAACTACACTTTTGAGCTTTTGAGTTGCCTTTCTAACAAAAAAAATAAAAAAAAGCTACTTGACACATTCTCAGTTCGTTTTGGGTGACTCAGGTCTAATGCAAGAAAACGTCTATTGCTTCCCAAAAATCAGCTGCGGCTGCAAACAGTACACATAAACTCCCAGACTTCAGCCCATCTCAGTGGAGCTGAGTTAAGAATAGCTCCCTGCCACCCTGTGTTTATTTGAAACAGACCTGTCAAAAGTTAAGTTTAGCACCAAAGAGTTGGCGATGGCAGCGTTTTGATGAACTGAAGAGCCAGTGAGATCTTCACACTGTAAAGGTAGCCGGTTATTTTTAGAGCAGATGGGCAGGTTTAGAAGGCTGCCTTCTGCTTATTTTAAGAGAGGGAGAGAGGAAATGGACACCCCTCTTTCTCTAAATCATTAAACGTGTAGGAGGCAGTTAAGGCCAGTTTCAGGTAAATACTGCGCTTGACTTTAATCCCTCCTGGCCTGGTAAGGCTGTAAATACTTATCAACACAGTACAATGTTCTCTGTTGCCTTCGAGCAGGGCTTTAAAGACCTCCCACGGCTCACCTCTGCCTCAGAACAGGCCTTAATGCCATTGCATTTCCTCTCCGCCTCCTTTTACTTAATCATGTCCTTTATTTGTTTATTTGTTGCGATTGGTTCATTCTGTGATTTGTTTGATCAAGGCCTGGGTCGGTGAGTTCAGACACGCGTCGGCTGTACCAGTGCAGCTAGTGAGAGCGAGCAAATTAGACATGAGCTTTACCTCATATTGTCTCTCCCCTCTTCCTACCTCTTCCCTCTCTTCTCTCTCTCTTTTTCTTTCTCTCCTTTACTGTGTTTGATTTGATATTTCCTTCGTTTGCATCATGCTGCTGGTGAACCTTTAGTCAGACACCTTGCATTTGCCTTAGATGGATGAATATGTTCAGACATGAGATGTCCAATCTTGCGGACGTTACAGGTCAACACACCCACACATACACAATATTATTAATCTTTATCGTGGTATTGGACTTTGCAATAGTGATATCATAGTCGGTTATGAGCTGTAAGGCATTCTAGTCAACCTCAGATGTTCCAGATGAGTTTTTGATGAATTAAGGCATTCACATGATCCAACAAACATAAACTAATCTGAGGTTCAGCAGTGTGCTTTAATATATTCCAAGGCATATGACAGTTGCAGTTAGGGGTGGGCGATATGAAATATAACAAAGATACTTTCATATTCACAATACACGGTAAGTAATAGGCTGGAACGGTGAAAAAGGATCCTGTACAGTCACATTTCAAAATATTATGAAGAACTATAAAAACAATGATTCAGTTTAACGTTTCACATACTGCCCTGCACTGAATTCAGGTAAACAGGCCTAACTGTGCTCTCCTTGTAATGAAATGTGCAGTTGGTCAGTTGTTCAATATACACTGTATGCTCAGAAAAGCATATTGTCTCATATAGTGGCTCACTTTATAAAGATAACCATAAATATTGTCATATTGCCTACCTCTACTTGCTCTGGATAGTCATATCATAGCAATATGTCATTTTATATTCCTAGAGTGATAATCAGCTCCATGTTAGGAACAGTGAAGTTTTCCCTCTTTTGTTAGTTTTCAAATATCACAATATTTATTACAAAAACCTAAAATCGTAATGTGACTTTTTCCCTAGGTTGTTCACTCAAACACTCCTATATGTTTATATATATGGCCTACTTGCTCCTGTATGTGATTCTCTTATCTATTTCCGTAACCCATAAACAGTGCAGATTAGTTTCTTTCTGCTGTCAAATCGAAATAACACCAGGCCCTTTTGACCCTTGGCGGCCAGGTTGGGCTGTCTGCCGCGGGCCGATAAGAGGATGCTGATGGGTGTGAGATAAGGAACAGGAGCTGAAGTTCAAGTGACCCTCCAATAAGCTGGAGAGAGACAGAGACTTAGGGAGGTGCACAGATACATGAACCTGAAAGAGACAGGGGGAGAGTGGGAGAAGAAGGGCAGATGTGGAATAACCTGAATGAAGCAAGACAAGGCAGAGGAGAGACTCAGTGGTTGACAGATTGATGCAGTGTTAAACAGGTGGCCAAAACAAGAGAACAAAAGACAAAAGAGAACAAAAATTTCATTTTCCCCACAGACTGCAAGCCGATAGTGTGGGTCCACCTGTAAGAGACTGCAGCGAAAATGACCAGAGTCCCATCAGCCACATCTGGACAGCCAGTAGGCCTCTGAGCCTCAGAGTTGGCCAGAATGGCACAGGCTCATACTTTTACACACACACACATACATATACATATATATGCCTGAGTGCTCAGTCGACAGTGATCACATACACAGTCATTGTAGTGTCTAAGGAAAAGGCCCAAAACATCTACAGAGTAGATCAAACTTCGGACTACGGTTCTCTTGCGCACATTCATATACGGTACGACTCAAAAGCTCAGACCTGATTTCCTGCATGTTTTTATGTTCTTAGAGACATTTTGATCTAAACATCCAACACTGCTTATGTATGTTTCATAGTTTTGAAATCTTCAGTATTATTGATAAAAGCACAAAAATAGTAAAAATAAAAGAATAGTAAAAGCGTTGCACACTTAATCAGGCATTTGGCTGGTACTGTATCCACAGAGTACATCAGACATGAGATAATAGTTACATTTAGAGATGGCATATCAGTATCAGTGGCTATCGGACTGATATCAGCAAAACATGCTGGATTGGATGAAAAAAAATTGAAACTGAAAAACAATTTCAGGAAAATATCTAATTGTGGTGTTTTGGACTTATATTGTGACTATAATTTAAAATTGGGATTGTTTTTATAAATAAAGGCCCAGGCCTGTTATTTTGGCCATGAGGACCAGAATATCCACTTTTTCTGGCTTAAACACTGCTTTGTTGTTAGGTTACATTTTTCCAATTAAACCGTAAGAAAGCAGTGTTGATAATATAGGCATATATAATGCAATACTTATTGCAGCTCTTTCAACATGAATTAAAAATGACCATTTTGATATATAGAACAATTAATTTTTCAGCCCTAAATGATGTATTTATTTCTGTGAGATCGTAGAGTGTTTGAGTAGTTGGAGCAAGATGGCCTACTTTTAGATGCTCATCTTAAAGGAATTCTACAAATTTTTCAAAATTTTTGTAGAATTAAATTTTTGTAACAAAAAAAAGTTATAGGCTAAAATAATATCTCATAACTTTGTATTTAATTATCAGAAAAAGTCCTAGGAATCCAGCAGTATATTCATAACCGTTTAATGTAATAACTTTCTGTGAGAAGCTTTTAGAAGCATTGAATGTGTTGGAATTCTGACATTTCTCTCATTCAAACCTTTGTTTACATCTTGAAGATTTATTTATGCACAAATTTTGAAGGATTAGTGGAATTGCTTGAAGTGAGGTGGTTCAATTAATTATTGCTCATTTTATAGCTATAGCAGTAAGAAGAGTCACAGAGTTTTAGTTACACTGTATGCCTTCAGGTACAAACACAGAAGGTGATATATAGAGTACCCACTGGTTACTACTGCACTAATAGCTGACTGTGCTCACCTCCCCAAACTCCTGCATGCAGTATGAGTGGTGTGTGCTGTAAGGGGAAGCTGTTGGGAGAAGTTGCAGATGTGATATTTCTCCACAGCTGTGACAGATTGAGCATTCGTTCCAGGCTCAGTTTCCTGTGTCCTGTCTGCCTGTGTGCACAGCTGTCCACTGCTGCTCCAGCAGCCGCCATTGTGCGCCACCAGCACGTGACGGAGGCTCGCAGTTATATTCACACTGCAGGACGAAGTGTACAGGAGCCAGGCACATGACCGAGATCAGATCGACTGATTAGTCAAATACTCTCATGAAGTGAGTTGTGCATGCACAGGTGCCATAATATTAGATGGGTGTGAATCATAAACTTTTATACTAAAAGTTTACCTGCTGGACCATTTCTCACTCATGACTATACAACAGTCAGTTCTGATTGTACCGTCTGATTGGTTGAGAAGCATTATAACATTTTTCATAAGAACCGTATAATTCCACTGAGCACTGGTTGCTAGGTAACGACTCATTTATGCTGCAGCTAACCGTTATCACAGATCTACATTAGCACGTACAGAAAGAGAAAAAGGATATATTAATCTTCTAATGACTCACGAGATTATAACAACAGTATTGCATGTAATTCCGAACATCTTGTTGCCCCGAGTGCTGTGTTGGCATGGAAGTCATGACGGAACGTTCTGCTGACTGATTTTCCATCACAACTCCATTTAAACAATGGAATATCCGAATTGCTGTTGTCCGTCTAACGGCAACGTGTAACCTCAGCTTGCAACTAAGTAAGTTTTTCGGTTGGCAGCTGTGATGGTGGAAGAGCTAATGTTAAACAAATGATCTTGGCTCTCCAGAAAGCGTAAGGCCACTACTATTTTTTGGCGGAAGGAATTGCCAATATTAAAGCACCTTTACTATAATGTTCACGGCTTCTTTGCTTTAGTTCTGTCTTTAATTTGCAGAACTGTCGTATAAAAGCAATACAACACTCAAGGTCCTGTTTTATTGCTAATAACCTCATGGCTGTGCTGATGTACGCTGCGGCCAAATCACAGCAATGATGTTGTCCAACATAAAACACGGCTTCTTATGTTCTATTGCTTAAATAGCCTGATTATTGTGCTTTATTTACTAGTTACTGAATTTAGTTATTGAATAATAAGCCTTGAGATGTGAACATACAAAAGAGCTTAAGGAGTTGAAGCGAGAGTGGTTCGTTATTAAGTGAGGAATATGACCGTACACTTCAAGATCTTTGGTATTTGATGAACATTTCACATTATAAAAAAAAAACTGCTGGGAATTGCGAGAGTGATGCAAAAATTCACATACACACACACTCCGCACACTCTGTCCCTTCACTCTGAGTCTTGTCGAGACTGGACAATGTCTCCATTGTTTTCTGGGCTTTCACTGGCAGCAGGGGATGGCTGGAGTGTTAACTGTTTCTCCACCAGGCTCCACTGCAGCGTGTATGCGGAGAGTGCATGTGTGTGGAACGCGGGAGCCGGCAGGACGTTGAGAAAGGGGAGAGGGAGGGAAGGGGGGGAGAGAGGGGTGAAAGAGTTGTGTTTTGTGCCTGCTCCGAGTGTATGGTAATTAGTATTGAGGAAGTAACGGAATGTGAGCAGTTCATACAGCGCGAGACCTCCCACCTGAAACCCCGCATTCTGAGCCAGCCAGCGCTCTGTGTTCTTAACACCAGCCCAACCAGAACTAACTCCGCCATGGTGACAGATGAAGATAGAATTACAGGTTTGCTTTAAAACCGGCCATAAATATTGAATCATATATGGTGAAATATTTCAAGAGGAAAAAAAATCACGTCTTCCCAGCCTCCCACCGAGTGTGGGAGACGGAGCTGGTCGTGGCAGGCTGGTGTGGGGCCAGGAGTTTTGCTTGGTAATTTGCTCTCTCTTTTTTTCCCTGTGTGAATGGTGGTGCACCTGGACTGACTGGACAATAGCAGGGAGGGCCAGAGGCCTGCTGGGAAATCCCAGCCCCCTTGCTGATAATGAGCACCCCAGTGTCACAGCCTTCAGACTCAACTCCAATACTCACACTCTCTCTCTCTCTCTCTCTCTCTCTCTCTCCCTCTCTCCCTCTCTCTCTTTCTCCTATACACTTTCTCTTCCTTTCTCACCATACATACACCACACATTTTCCCTCTCTCTTTTTCACTGTCTCCCACCTTTCTCTCTTTCCTTCTCTTCCACTTTTTTCTTGTATTTCTCTATTCCTCTTTTTTGCGCTTCAGTGTCATTCTTTCTCTTTCTCTGTCTCTCCCTCTCTTATTTTCTCTTTATTCTTTTCTCTCTGTTTCTCTCCCTTTCTCTGTATTTCTCTCGCCGTATCACTGTATATGCACCTCTCCTCTCTTTCTCTCCTCTCTCTTTCTTTCTCTTGTACACTTTCTCTTCCTTTCTTTCTTTCTCACCATACATCTCTCTTTCCCTCACTTTTTTCTTGTCTTCTTCTGTCACTCTTTTTTGTCCTTTTTAGTCTCATTCTTTCTCCATCTCTCTCTCTGTATTCTTTTCTCTTTATTCTTTTCTCTCTTTCTCTCCTTTTCTCTCTGTATTTCTCTTGCTCTATCATTGTATGTGCACCTATGCACCTCTCTCTCTCTCTCTCTCTCTCTCTCTCTCTCTGTCTCTCGCACTCTCTATTTCTCTCCCCTCTCTCTTTTTTTCTCTCCCTTATTCCCTGTGTCTCCCCTTTTTCTCTTTGCCCACCCTCCAACAGCCATACAGTGTAACTCTGCTTTGTCTCTTCCCTTTGGTAAAGTCTTGATTAGTCTCTGTGTCCTTCTGTTCTGCTTTGGAATGCACTGGATTGGCGTTTTCCCTGCAGCTTTTCCAAGGCCTCTCCTGTCATCCACTTGATATGGTGGTTAAAACTCAGCCCTGACAGTCCAGGAGCGGTCAGAGTCATGTCATGGTCACTGTATCACGTTATTTGTAGACTTTTATTTCTGTAATCAATTGATCTGTGACTGTTATTTGATTGTTTGGGTCGTCAAAGCATTATTCAGTGTTTGTGAGTTTCCTCTTAATTTGTCATGTTACAGCAGAGCTGTCATTTAAAGTTCCTCTACATGATAAGTGATTTCTTTTTTAGTTGTGCAGTGAAGCAGTATAAGCCATACTGCCCCTGCAGTCCAGTAGAATGACCACATGTATCAAACTGTTGCTGTCAAGACAAAACCTTGTATCTCAAAATTATTAACTGTACAGGAGACGGAACAAACCTCTTAACTTTGAATGGAAGTGAATTAAAACAACACATTTTGGACCATTTCTACTGTTCCATTGATAATGAAACTGTAACACAGTATAATAGACACGTGGCATTTTCACATATCGTTAAAAAAGGAGGATAAAAGGAGAAGAAACAAGGTTTTGACCCAACAGCAACACTATGTTGATGGGTATGATACGATGGGTCGACTTTTTCAGTAATCCACTTTGTTGCCGTTGCATCCCTGGTCTTTATCACTGGCTAGTGAGCTGCACTCGAGCCGTTTAGCCACATTTGACCGTGATCAGCATCGGCCCTGCACCCACGACAGTTTCTCACCCAAACACAACGTGTAAACACGCTCTTCAGTGAGGGTAAATAGTGATGAGGTCATCGACCTCTGTGCCTTGTAGTGCTCCTGGGTTAGTTACCTTACTCTGAACACTCAGGCCACCCGCAAGATAGTACGAAAAACATAGTGATCTTGTGTAAACATGTGTGCATTAGTTAGACAGCGTCCTACGCTGAGTTACATGTCGATCGCAGGATCAGCTAAACCCGGGATTGCACCCTATGGCTCATAAAGAGCGTCAGAGTCTGTCTGCCCAGGGACAGTTTGTGTTGTATGTGTGAGAGTGCTATGATTAGCATCACTCACTTTTATGAGGTGATGTATGAAATCTTTATGTGCTTCCTCCTTTCTCTTCCTTTTTCCTGTTCTCCCTCTCTTAACCTTTCATGATGTGACAGGGAGCCCCATTGAATTAATCTATTAGCTGGTGTTAGCATAGCCATGTTAGCATGTATCCCTAGAGTTTAAGATGACCCACTGTCCAGCGCCAGAGACTTTCCCAGGCCAAGCAGTGAGGATACACTAGAACAGGGGTTGCAAACTCAAAGTACCTGGGGGCCACTAGCAAGGTGGTCTTTCCCAAGGGGTGTCATTTAAAGAATGCAAGGGAAAAAAGAACCAAGTACCAAGTATTTTTAACTACATAACGTTTTTCGTCTGCTGCTCATCTTACATTTTAAACTAAAATATAGGCAAGTGTCCTTTTATTTTTTTTCCAAGTATGACTATTAAATGCATAATATGCACAATTATTTAAGCGCATCTTAGGCCATGTTTACTAGCCACTCTTCTGTCACCACAAACCACAACTTTTACTACTAATACTAATAATTAGTTGTAGTAGAAGGATAAATACATAAAGTATGTAATAAATATTTTAGTGTTCACTTAAATCAAGCAAACTAGCATTTGACAGTACAATCACATGGGACTTGTGATAGTGTGATAGCATCAGCAAAGTGTTGGCAAAGGAGGGCAGTTAATCTGCGTTCTCAGCTGATTAATAATTCTATTCATTTCTTAATTCTAACGCACTGTATCTACCGCAATGAATGAATCCATAAAGGCAGATTTAATCAAACTATCAGTCTAAATTAGAACAGTACTTAAGTATTACAGTCATGCACACTGAGTATGTTGCGTTCGTACTGCGTCAGGTTTTTGTTTGAATGGTTTCTCTTGCATGCACAGTTCTGTTTTTGCTTTTAAAATAATGAGCATAAGCCTAAGCAGATTTTGTATATCTTGTGTTGGGTAACCAGCCATAGTGTCTGGTGGGTGAAACAGATCTACGCATCATATGTAAATATTTAGCTGCAAAATAACAAAAACAATTATTTGTGGGCTGGATTTAAGGGTAAATTGTAAATACATGAGAAGCTGTATGAAGCTGAATGTGGCCCGCATGCCGGTAGTATGAGAACCCTGCTCTAGGGTTTTACAACTTCAGGAAACGCCTGCTTACTCTTACGTGGTGTGATAGTGTGTGTGTGTGTGTGTGTGGTATAGCATATGAGTTGAAAGATTGGGCATAGACCCAAGATACTGAAAACAGCCTGTAAATAGAAGCTAGCTGCATGGAGGAAGGAGGCAGTGAAAGTGGGTGCTAGTGTTCTGTCTTAATTCATTCCCTGATGTAAAAAGAATGTGCCATAAAACAATTGTGTGACTCCGGCACATCCGTCTTTGCCTTTCAGGGGCCCTTCTGCTTGGAATTCCCCGGACAGGCTGATCTGAGCCTTCACCAATTTCAGTTGGTGAGAATTTTGAATTCCAAGTATCTTGTAGCTGGATTGTACAGAGCTGAAATGAAATAACTTAAAATATGTAGGCACCATAATAAAAAATGTTTGTGACAACATTGACTTTTGAGCTAGACTGCTATGTTCTGCTATGTTTACATAAGATGCTGCTGTTTTTCTTGCTCTTTAAAGTAAGCCTGCCATTGGTAGCATTTGTCACAGATCCATACGTTCTTAGTCCTGTTTAAGTGCTCAGGCCTACTGAAGAATGCTGCAACGGAGGCCATCTGTCCAGAAATGGGTGATTTTGGTGCACTGTGCATTTATAAAAAGTACATTCCATGGATGTAACAATACATTGTGACATAAAAATGTGTAAAAATGTGACATTGGCGAAATGTACTGTATTCTATTAATGATGACATAGTTATATTATATAGTTGCAATTAACCCACATTCACATTTCAGTATCATACAGCACATTCTGAGCCCACCTCAGCACTTTCAACCAGCATATTCAGTGTAACCCACACCAGCACCTTGATACTTAACCCACACCAGCATATTCCACTTAACCCACCCTAGCATATTCCACTTAACCTACACCAGAACCTTGATACTTAACCCACACCAGCATATTCACCTTAACCCACACCAGCACCTTGATATTTAACCCACACCATCATATTCACCTTAACCTACACCAGCACCTTGATACTTAACCCACACCAGCATATTCCACTTAATATGGTGTGGGTCAGCATATTCCACTTAACCCACACCAGCATATTCATCTTAACTCACACCAACATATTCCACTTAACTCACATCAGCATATTCCACTTAACTGACACCAGCACATTCCACTTAATTTACACTAGCATATTCATCTTAACCCACACCAACATGTTGGACGTAATCCGCACCAGCACGTTCTACCTGATTTACACCGTCACATTCAGCTGTATGTACAATTTAACCCACACCAGTATGTTTGACTCAACCCACACCAGCACGTTCAGCTTAATCAAGTTAACCCAGACCAGCATGTTCAAGTTAGACCACAGCAGCACATTTGACTTAATCCATATCCACATGTCCATACATCACATTCACAGCCCTAATCTGATTAGTACGTCGTGCAATGAATAATCATTTTTTTCCATATTTAGTCAAAATATTGTTTTTAAAATATCAAGATATTTATTTGTGAACTCAGTATCATGAATTAAATCAAATCTTGAATCAAATCTGAATGTATTGTTACACCCATAATCCGTTCTGTAGTGCTAGTGTCCTTCTTGATGTGTTAGCTTGCAGTTTTTTTGGTGTTGGTCTGAAGCTTCGGGTTCCTCACGGCCCCAGCGCCTCCCTGAGCTTTACCTTTGTGAGCGCTCCACACTCGCGAGCCGCATTCGTGTCGTGGTAATTATTTTTCTCTCATCTTCCGGAATGGCGCAGATTATTTCTTTCTGTCTTTTTTTTTGCTTTTTCTTTTTCATTCTCCTGAAGCAGCTGGCATGAAGAGGGTGCTTTTCAGTTCTGGCATCTGGGGTTGAACGTATGCCAGCGAGGAGTTAGGAGGTGGAGTGGAGTGGGTTGTGTTCGCTCGCATGCATGTGCAGTGGCGTGTCACGCGGGTCGAGGTTAAGGATGTTTGTACGAGACAAGGCCGCAGTCTAGCTGTCTTAATTGTCCTCTTGTCCACTGGCACAGAATTGATCTATTAAGAGGAAGGCAGTGTATGTGGAGAATGAGAGTTAGAGAGCTAGAGCGAGAGAGATAGAGAGAGACTTGTGTAGCGGTGTTGGCCGGGCGTAGAGTGGCATGACGCTGGGGCTGCGGAGTGTTTCATTCACGCCTTGGCCCTCCTTGACGGACGCAAATAGTTGGGGGGAGCTCAAAAGAGGGGCGCACAATGGAGTAGCCTTGGTCTGCCAATCGCGCTGTCGGCACAGGGATCAGTAGGCCGAGAGATTGTTTAGCTCATCGTCTTGCATTTAGCTCTGTGAAGGGAGCCGTGGCATTGTGGGAAGAGCTTGTCATGGAGACGGCGAGAGGATATCTCATTTTTTTGGTCTCCTTTTATCATTTCCTCCTGCACTTTGAATTGCTTTGCTGATCAATTGCTTATTGATTTGCGCGCTCCGCAGGGACCGCGTATGTAATAATAAACACAGCACTTGAAGAGGTCTCAGCTTTGCAGTGTTATCATCTCATACAAGCAGAATAATCAAAGCTTTTAATTCCTTCTTTCTGCCACTCGTGCGCTCTCTCTCTCTCTCTTTTTTCTCTTTCTGGGGTTTTGTAAAATGTTGCTGCCAGAACTTGTTTGACGAGTTGAGGGAGGAGCTCCTCAAGGTGTGTAGCTAGGAGTGTGTGTGTGTGTGTGTGTGTGTGTGTGTGTGTGTGTGTGTGTGCAAGTTTGTTTGTGTCTCCAGATGTTTGTCTGCATGTCCACATACTTTCTGTGTACATGCTCCTGTCTGTGCCTGCTGTGCATCTTTGTGTACAGCACTGTACAAAAGTCAGAGCCTGCACTTCATTTATTTAATATCCAGTCAAAACAGCCATCAAGTACAGCTTTTTCATTCTTCACTCATCAGGGGAAAAAAGCAGAAAACATATATTAAACAGGAACTTATACAGAAACTCCAACAACTAAATATAGATTTTTCCCGTATTTAATATGACTGTCCTTTCTCCACGCCTCCAAAGTTCAGACGTGGAAGTTGGTTGCATCTGCTTTTCACAATCCAAGTAATCCAAAATAATGTTGGGGTCACATGAGCTCTAGTGTGGCCAGTTCATTGTCCTGAGAACTTCAGCTTCTTTTCTTCTTTTTTAGCTCTTTTCTTTTCTAAGAGCTTCTTGACAGCTACACACCCTTTCAGACCAACAGTGTTGAGTTGTCATCTCACAGAGGAAGGATGGACAGGAGCACTTGTGGATTTTTTCAGATCTGAATTAAGAGTGGGGCTTGATTTACTTCTCTCTCTCAAAAAGCCTTGAGTACTGTTTATCTGATGGTTTTTGAATTATATATTTTAGAAAATCCTTCTTTATGCAAGTGAATTATTTGATCTGCAATCTCACAAATATCTCCTAAAAATGAATAACTTGGATTTAATGGTCACTTTGACTGGAAAGTAAATAAATAAAGGGGGTTTCTAACTTTTGCACAGTACTGTGTATTGTGTGTGTGTGTGTGTGTGTGTGTGTGTGTGTGTGTGTGTGTGTGTGTGTGTACGAGTGTTCAGCTGAATGACAAGTAAATTTGTCTGTCCTGTATACACAGTTAGGCTGGGTCAGCTTCTCAAGCTCAGTTGCACACGATTTCCTCCACACCACAGCAAGGCGATGTGTTACACACTCTGACATGACGTCGTTCACTCCAGTCGCTGTCTGAGAGGCTTGGGTTGGGGGTGGGGTGCTGAGGAGGGGACTGTGAGTTCTGCTGAAAATGTTTTGGATTTTTGTAGGGGGAAAAAAAACTTCCTCAAGGACTTCCTGTGAGCCAGTGGAGGAGACACACACTCTTTCCCTCCCCCAACACACAAACACTGTAGACTTCATACCGATATGGAAAGACGTTTAACCCTTTAAAGGGCCCAAAACATCGGAAAATGAATTTACCTCACCTTGTTGAAATAAGAATCTGGTGTAGTATGTTAACATTGTTTCAAAGTGTACCGTTCAGTCCAGAGCCTGTGCAGTACATATATGACAACTGTGCTCCAAAAACAACCCATTTTGATTTCATTGTTTTTGTGATGTCACAACCAGTGTATTCAAATATTTTTGCCTATTCAGCCTTCAGCAGGTCAATTCAGCCAATCAGAACAGAGGCTGTTTACATATACCAGCCTTAAAGGCACAGTAACACAAACAGCCTGTTTAAGTCTATGGCAGGGGTGTCCAAACTTTGCTGCGTACCAATGATGTATTTTATAACATGTCGTATTACTCTATGTATTGGGATTAAAATACTTTAAAAGTTCATTTTAAACGGAAATAAGAATATAAGCAGAAAATAAGTCATATATATGTTTGTTCGCTCATTGGGTGAAAGGAGCAGGTAAATTTCTGGCAGGCTAAATCAAACGTCCTAGTGGGCCAACTTTGGGCTACCCAGTTCTAAGAGATAAAGAGAGGTTGAAAATCGTGAATTATGGCTGTTTTGGTACATAAATCAACACAAATGTTGTATACTGAAGTGGAACTCAGGGAAAAAGATAAAATACAAGAACAATGTATGATTATGGGCAGGCATATTATTCTATAACTATTATACATTTTCAAGTAACTGCTGTAAAACTAATATGTAAGATTTATCAAAGAATAGATTTGAAAGTGTGGGCCCTTTAGGGTTGGGGGTCAACCTTTCAAACTTTGTCACAGCGCATCTATGAATCACTGCATTGCACTGCACCACTGCATGACTGAGACATGTCGTTGTAATACACACAAACCCACTCATATACACACACACACACACACAACGCACACACCTTGTGGTGTTGAAAGTGACGGACTTAGCCAGTACAGTATTAGCACTTGAGGCTGTTTCACAGAGAAACTTGTTTTGACAGAACTCCAGGTGTCTCATTGTTGGCCTGCTATGGTTCAACAGATTTACCAATTAGTGTCGGGCTGTGGGCAGGCGAGGGGGGGCAGACGGGGGTGTAGCTGTTGGGCGGTGTTATGGAAGAATTGAATGGAGGGGAGAGGAAAGGAGGAGGGGGAAACGGAGTGATGGAATGACATGGGGCTGAGTAGGCTGCTGGGGGGGTCATGTGGTTAGAGAGGACCGTTCAGTAAGCTGATACGTGACCTCCTTTCACGGCCCTGTAATAGAGTAGCTTGGGAAAGTAGCTCTCAGCAGAAAGAGAGAGGGAGAAGACGAGGAAGAGGAAGGGACATGATAAGGATGAAGAAAATGCCCCTTGTACCCACCGTTTAACATGAGTTTGCTGAGAGAAACAGATACGCACAGCTAGTGATTTTCTACGCCA